TCCTTTCGATACAGTACAAGTGACTTAAACCAGGAAGGAGACTCAGAGGTCGCATAGCCACAAGTTCCATCCATGCATATTCAGTGGGGCTCTGTAGATGCCAGCTAATATATAGAAACAATGTGTAGATTTAAATTTATGCTAGTATGTCAGTACAATCTGATTTATACACATTAACTGGGGAGGGTGCATGGAAACAAAGGGATTCCTATCTCCCTACAGTGTGCAACAGAACAAATTGTACACTGTTCATTTTTTGACTATGACTACTGTTAACCATGAAAATAAAGGCATTTTTGTTTCAAAAGATGTCAAAGCAAATATATATCTTTCTGCCCCAGCAAGTGTTAGAAATGTACTCATGCTTTTATTATTACTTTTAATAGCACATTGTGCTGTTGATATTGCACTGTACGTCAGACTTACCTTGTGAATAAGGCCTAACATTTTTCTAAAAAACTAAACATTAAAAAAGGCATAAAATTAATTGTTATGCTTCCTGGGTAGTATTTATGCGAGTTGAGATTGGAATATTATTTTCTTGCCTACAAATTCCTTCACTATTTTCTTTCTATGGTTACTATTAAAACATAAAACATAACTAGTAAACAGTTTCATGAACACAGTCACATTGTGGTGTTGAACTCTGAAGGTGATATGTGAAGTAAGGCCACATAATAGTACACTGCATTAACATGAAATATTAAAGGTAGTTATAACCCTTTTGCTTATAAGTTATCTGAATCTTTGGAGTAAGAATTTGTTGGTGAAGAGCTGTTTTGAAAACCTAAAAATGTTTGCTGAAAGGCTTATTCTGTGCCAATAGCAGTGTTTGTGTATTCCTAAACAGCTGGTGGTGTCGTTTACTGTCACAAGCCTAATGTGTAATGAGCAACATACTGTTGTAAAGAAGGAAATGCTAAATATAATCAGCATTTTTCAAATCCAAAGACTTAATGGGTTATACTTAGTTGTCCTCAACTTGACTGCAGTAGAAAATAATATAATGGTACATTTTTGCTGTTTTTCAAATGTCACTTCCAAATTGTCATGCTTTTACCTTGCAAGCTCCCCCCCCCCAATTTTCTTAACAAGTTTGTCCTTCTGTTCTCCTCTCATTCCCATTCCCAGCCCAGTTTTCTACAGTACTTCCATGTATTTCTGACCAGTCTTCACAGGCATACATTCTACAAACATTTTAATATTAGTGTTTACTTAATTTAAAAAAAAAGAAGCCTAACCTTTTAGATTATAAAGCCTTCTGCAATACCTGTGAGCCAAGTTTGGAAAGATATAAGTAATGTATATTATCCCCCAGGGACATATATTACTGATGGTTGTTGTAGGTTTTTCGGGCTGTTTAACCATGTTCTGGAGGTTTTTCTTCCTGACATTTCACCAGTCTCTGTGGCCGGCATCTTCAGAGGACAGGATTTAGAATTCTGTCTGTATTTTGGAGTAATGTGTGGGATAGTTGAGTATTTGTAGCTGTGGAATCAGCTTTTTGTCCTTTTCAGGGGATTGGGTGATTATGGTGATCAGGGTGTTTTTTGTTATGGGTGTATTGTTGTGATAAAAGGGGGAGATGATCTGCCACTGTGATTGATGTGTGTTGTTAGCTAGACTTTGTGGCTGGGTAGAGTTCGTTTTTGCAGGCTGTATTTTTCAGTGCTGGGAGCCAGGCTTTGTTGAGTTTTAGACTTTTCTCTTTTTTGTTGAAGCTGTGCTAGTGTTTGTGGATTTCAATGGCTTTCCTGTGTAGTCTAACAGAATGATTGCTGGTGTTGTCCAGTACTTCTGTGTTTTGAAATAGGATTTCATGTCCAGCTTGAAGAAAGTCTAAAACTCAACAAAGCCTGGCTAATTATGCATCCACCTCAAGCCCTGTCAATATGGAATCAAAGCTTTGTTAATATCCTAACCTTGACTGTTCTACTCAACTCTTGCAAGCTGCCCAAAGCTTCGGTTATTAGGTGTTTTAGTAATGAAATAAATAAGTGAACAAACAGACCAACATATGGAATCAAATAAGTCTTTTAGAGTGTAAACTTACTTATAGTAGCTTACACTCTAATTTCCAGTTTCACACTAAATTCAATAAACAGATTACCCAAGAAACTGAGATGTTGTGTCCTAAGGAAAACTGTAATAGTACCGTAACTACTGTAAGATCTTTTTGTTACTGTCGTGTGCTGTCAGGTTGCCTCTGGATTATGGTGACCCTATGAATAAGCAGTCTCCAAAATGATCTGTCCTCAACTGCCCTGCTCAGCTTTTGTAAACTCAACCCTGTGGCTTTCTTTAGGTGGCCCACCCATCTCATGTTCGGTCTTGCTCTTTTCCTGTTGCCTTCCACCAGCCGTCTTTTCCAGAGAATCCAGCATGATCTGCCCAAGTAGGACAACCTCAGTTCCATCATTTTTGCCTCAGAGATAGTGATAGTGCCTCAGTATTTAGGTTTTCTTGCAGTGTTGGCACTCTGAAATAAATATGCTGGTTTTGTGTTGCAGTTTGGGCACTCAGGCTCAAAAAGGTTCGCCATCATTGATCTAGGAAGTGTACCTAGGTCTGGCAGTAGATTCATATCTATGGAGGTCGTGCAGGGACTTGAACAGAAGTGTTTCTCCCAGGTGGCTTCATACAGGAGGCAGTGCAAAACACAGTGAGTGGCACCACCAGGTGTATGTTATTGTTAAATAGAGAAGTGTTGGTGCATTTGAATAGAAGCTTTGCAAGCTATTATCAAGGCATAGAAAGTTAAATTATAAAAAATAGATTGCAGGTGTAATTTAGCAGTTATTATAACTGTGAGAATTCAGTAGAAACCATATTCCACTGTATGTATGTTGATTCTATATACCCTTTCATTAGTCTGCCATTTAGCTGTTTACAACCCTTACTGCATCTGGAGCAGGCTTTATTTTAGCATCTCTGCATTTTCCTCCACTTCACTCAGCTATTAAACAACAGCTATTGTAACTCTAATTTCTTTGGTAATATAATTTTCTCTTGTCTTCTCTAGTTTTACTTAGTACAAACATAATACTTTAAATACTTCAGCAATGATGAAATGAAGACCCCCGCCCCCAGTTTTACATTGTTTCTGGATGTCTGCAAGGATAAACAGAATCACTGAAACGTAACTTTTAAAAATCACTTCTAAAAATTAATCAGACAAATCTCACTGTTCACATCTACATAGTTTCCATGATAACTTTCCTATAAAACTTTCACAAGGTATAAACGTCAATATTCATGCCCTCCTCACATTTTAAAAACATGTAAAATAAATTGACATGTAAGTTCTCTTTAGATTTCATTTTCAGTCAACCTGCGCAATTTGCATGTCAGTTTAGCATAAAGTTTTGTCTTCACACAGCATCCATGTGTGGTCTTATTGAGAGTTCTGAGCCATGGAGTACTGCAGCTATTACATAGTACTTTCCTTTGTTTCTTGTTAGTTGATACACAATTAGAGTTGCATCACAGGTAGTAAAGGGGCTGGGATTTTTTTGTTGTTGTTTAGTCATTAAGTCATGTCTGACTCTTCATGACCCCATGGACCAGAGCATGCCAGGTCCTCCTGTCTTCCACTGCCTCCTGGAGTTTGGTCAAATTCATGTTCGTAGTTTCGATGACACTGTCCAACCATCTCGTCCTCTGTCCGCCCCTTCTTCTCTTGCCATCACACTTTCCCAACATCAGGGTCTTTTCCAGAGAGTCTTCTCTTCTCATGAGATGGCCAGAGTCTTGGAGCATCAGCTTCAGGATCTGTCCTTCCAGGGATACATGAGTACAAATATAACAGTGCTAAAATGGGTTGCGTGGATAAAGCTGCATACAGTATGTTCAGATAGCTTGCACACAGACCTAGTGAAAACAAGAGGACAGACTTCTCACAGCCATTCATAGGCACACAGATAAACCTTTCTCTTAGCTTATTCAACTCCTTCAAGTATAAACTAAAACTAGTATTCTTTCTCTAGTGGTTTGATAAGTGCAGGATGAAACTGTGAAGCACCTGACACAGTAAACATGGTGTGTAAAAGATATCTTTATAGACGCTGTGTGATGTTTGTAATAGATCTGAAGATCAAGAAATTGGCCATTGGACAAGAGCTTGCCAAGTGTCTGGGTCTTCTTACCTCTTTATTATTTGAAAACACTAAGGCAGTATGACCTTGGGTTTTGTGAATTTTCCTGTCTCGGGAGTCTCAAGTGAGGACTCCTACTTTTTTTCTTGTTAACATAATTATCAAATATCAACATTTTATCAAAACACATACTTGAGAAAACATTTTTGACAATATTTTGCTTTGGTAACAAATATGATGGCAGAATTGACTCTTGGTTTTTAGTACAATCACATGAATTTTACTTGAGTATTCAGACATTCCTTCAAATCCCATCACTAATATATTGATCCAGTCTTGGTCCTACATTCTGTGTAAGTGCAACGATGGCATATCTTTCTCTTGGCATCTGATATGATTGAATCGTTTATAATTGGACAAATGAATATAATGAATTCACTTTTAGGATGTGAACTGTTTTTATGTGTGTGTGTATACATAAATAAAAAACATATATAAAATTTATATATCTTTGACAAGAAGCCATGCCTTCTCAGTGGTGGCACCAACTCTTTACAACCATCACCTGACAGACAGCACTATTTTGAGCAATGTACATATAAAAGTAAGTGTGTGACATAGGTCTGTCAGGTGATGGTTGTAAAGAGTTGGTGCCACCACTGGGAAGGCACGGCTTCTTGTCAAAGATTTTCTGGCTTCCTTCCTCTCTTTTTTACCTTTACTGAAATCTTAACATAAAAGGATAAGAGTGGTAGGGAGACTAAAACGCACTCCACTCAGACATCTTCCTAGGTTCAGTGAAATCTACTCCCAAGTTGTGTATAGGACTAAAGCCTCAGATGGAGATTGGCCAAGTTGCCCATTTTCTTTATCATCCCTTAAAAGTGTTATTTCCCACTTTCATAGGTTCAGTCCAAGAAAGAAGAACCTTTGACGCCACCTCTGAGTCAAACCATTCCAACATTTTATTTTCCTCATGGATGTCCAAAAGAAAAAGTGAATATAGATGCTATTATTGCAAAGATAGAGAAAACATTCTCCCAGTTTCCAAATGAACGAGCAACGTTAGAAGATATGGGTAAAGTAGCAAAGGTGAGTGGCCAGCATTTTTCACAAGAGTTGGTTTGGCTGCTGCTGCTTCAGCGGTTCAGAAAATTTTGAACTAGACAAATTCAGAGGCTGTCCAGCTTGACTCAGTCCCAAACTCAAGTTGCAATTCAGAAATCCAGAACTTCATGCCTTCTATTGATTATAATTAGAGTGTTTAAAAAGTCTATAAGTTTTATTGTGTTTGTCAAAATTAGGTGGAAATTTGTAGACATAGCAGTCTCTTAGGAAGAGAAAATGCTACTAGTTTTTGGACAAATTTGTCTGGGATGTTAAAATAAACAACTTCCTTTGTTTTATTTCCTAGCAGATTTGGAAGAGATTTTCAAATATACATGCTTCTGAGGGAATCCAAGCTGCCATTATTTGGCTGAATACTTATTGGGGTTTTCTGCAAGAATAAACGTGATATTTGTATTCAAAAAAGGGCATCTTCTCTTCCTTGTGGATCATTGTTACAAAAATTACTGATAGCACACACTGACCTTAAGTAGGAAATCTGCACAAGGGTTGGTGTAGTGCTGTGAAGGAAATGTCTTCATATTTTGAAGAAAGGAAAGACATGTACTTGTCATTGTTTGCTTTTTTCTTTCTTTTTCAATTTGATTGAAAGTGAAGATGTTGCAGACGTAGATTTTGGAGTTATCTTGACTGCAACTTGATAATGAAATTAGATTGTGGAGGAGGAGGAGGAGGAATGTCCATCTCAGAGTTCCATATTGTCTCATCAGTTCTCATCCATGCTGAACATGCTGCTTAGCTGCTCTTCTCTGTAGTTTCATGCAATACCCATCTTGCAAGGAATTAATAGCATTTTTCCTACATTTTAAAAATACATATTTCAGTAAATATGCACACACTTTGAGAGTTCCTTCTGCTTTTACTAGAGCAAGGAGCTAGGCAAAAGCAATATGAAAATTGGTAATAGCAGGAGAATAAGAACAGCCATAGAATGTATGCCATTACGTGGGTTGCCAGTAGAGATAGGCCTAGGCTGGAAGCGGAAGTACCAGGCAATCACAGAAATAGCAGCTGACGGGCAGCCTTACAGAGGTCGATGCTGCCTTTTCTCACAGTGACCAGGAGCTGTACACTTGGATGGCAAAAGATGAGCTGCCTGATCAGTTGAGCTGGGTATTTGTATCAAGATAGTATGAAGGTGGGCAGATGACAGAGCCAGGCAGTGGTGGTGACAGATAGGCAGGCTGTCTGCTAGAATGAGCCAGTAGATGATAGAATAGAGAGAAGCATTTAATGATAAGTAAGTACCTGGGAACACTTCAGTACATTGTCTTGTTTTCATACATTTTACTCCTCCAAACTAGAATGTTATAGGATGGCAGACTGACAAGGTGGTTGTAGTGGAAGCTAACAAGCAGGGGGAAGGGCAGATGAGCTAATTGTGAACTGAAAATAAGCATTGACTTGCTGGACATGATCCTTTGGTGATGAGCAGGAGTACTGCTAAGCATCAGGAGGTGAACTATTGCCAGGTGGACAGTTTTGGAATCCCCAAAATGGCAAATCGCAACCAGAAACCTCTACCTGTGATTTCTCTCCCCCTTTTTTGGTGGGGAATTAAAATTTATTGACTAGATCTAGCCAGATATTTATAATAATAAGCAATTCAGCCTTCCACTGTTTATTTTAAATTATTTCCCAAGTTCTAACTTATATCTTAAAATGACTATAACTAGTTCTTTTTTTAGCATTTGGGACACCACATAATAAAACTCATGATTCATTGCTTAAGCTGCTAATAACTCGGTAAAAAGAGTTTACCGAGGCCACCCAGAGACCTTTGGGTAGTCTGGGCGGCATATAAATTAAATAAATTAAATTAAATGTATTGTGTTGCTGTCCTTTTAGACCCTGATTTGCTTCTTACAAATCTTTATTTCAGGCCTGTGAATGTCCTCTTTACTGGAAAGGTCCCTTATTTTATTGTGCTGGAGGAGAGCGGACAGGATTTGTATCTGTTCATAAATTTGTTGCCATGTGGCGGAAGTAAGTATGATTTCTTTAGTGAGGCTGTTTCAGCCTGGTTTAAAATAGAGTAACTAGAGAAATTTCCTAGTAAAATTTCAACATTAGTTTAAGAAACGAGGCAAAAGTTGAGGAGTATCTTACCACCCTCTCCCTGTACTTAAAGATATGTTTGGTATATTGTACATACATATGTAAAACTATCATAACTTTTGATCCTTTAATTTAGATGTAATTTATTTCAATCTGAAGTTTACAAAAATAGAGTGTGAAGGCAGAATAAGAGATGATTGATTCAGTGTAGAAATGCAGGCATTCCTGGGTTTAAATAGTTACACACTTGAGCTTGGCACATTCCTAGCTTTTAGTGAAGCATATAGAGGGCAGTTTAAAGAATTTTGGATTAGAGGTTTCATTCATGCTTGCACATGAACTTTGAGCTCATTTCCTGGAAAAAAAAACCCAAGATACATAAATTTACCATTTATGTACAAATTAGACAAATTGTGCTTTTCAGGATTCTACAGACCTGCCATGATGCTGCTTCCAAGTTTGTTCATCTTCTAAAGAGCCCTGGATGTAACTATTTGGTACAAGAAGACTTCATTCCATTTTTACAAGTAAATTATGTTTTCTTAATTACAACTGTTCTCTCATGGATCCTGCAAAATACTGTACTGCTCACTTAACTTTCCATCTTTTTAAAAGAAATTAAGATGGCTGAGGTTAATCTCTAACTCTTTAGCATATTCACTAGTGAATAGAAAAGCTAAAACTAATTCCAATCAGCCAGAATATTGGAACAGTCAAAAATGAGACAGTGCTGTTCTTCTCTCCCCAGACAGATACAGTTTTCTGAAATTACCTCAGTCTCTTTCCAGACTTCATCCAGAATGATTACATATTTGCCCTGCTCTGCTGTCTGTCAGTTCTTCTTTCACACCTACTGAATTTATTTTCAATACTACTCCCCCTCCGTTGTAGCTCATTGAAAAATAGCTGAATGTTGGCATACTTACAAAATTAATATTAAAAAAGAAACCTCCTTGAAATGTTGTCTTAAAATAGTTTGGACATTGTCTTAATGACAGTGTTCCTGAAAGTGCGTTGAACATAAGTTGCCTTTTAATATTACAGCTTTATGGTCCCTTATGGTTACAGGATGTGGTTTTGTGAAGAAATCACACACTAAAATTCTGTATTGACTATCCTGGCAGTGAGGATCAACTATACACCTCTAACCTTGATGCTTCTTTCTTAGGATGTGGTCAACAGTCATCCTAGTCTAGTCTTCTTAAAAGAAGCATCTGAATTTCATTCTCGGTACATCACAACAGTAAGTGTCTTGTATATTAAAATATTTCCTTTCAGACTGTCTAGCTCTCAAGACAGCAAAACATAGGTCCATGTGTTTAAACACAGTTCTGTCTCAATTATGTTAGAAAACCACTGAACCCTCTTTACTTTTCACCCAGCCAAGCACTCTTCTTGTATTAAAACCTAGCTAACGAGAAAATTCCCTGGGACATCTCACCATGCCCCAGGGAGGTAAGCTTCAGTCAAAGGGAAAGTTTGGTGTTCCCCAGCTGCATGTTTGTTTGTTTGTTTGTTTGTTTGGTTATAAAAACAGCCCCCACTTCCTCTTTTTGAATGTTGGTGTAGCAGTTAGGAGTGTTGGCCTGGGACTTGGGATGTCCAGATTCTAGTCTTCACTGAGCTGTGAAACTCTTTTGGTGGCCACGACCCACTCACAATCTCTTAGTCTGACCTATCTCACAGGATTGTTATGAGAAAAATGTAGGGAGGAAAACCATATGCACTACTTTATGCTCTTTGGAGGAAATGCTGCATAAGTATGTAACAAATGAGTGATACATGTTAGGGATGGATCCATGAATCTGCTGTTATAAGATCTGTTCTGAATAGTTACTCTGAGGTATTTATTGATCCAACATGCTCATCAGAGCCCTTCAGCTTGAATCACCTTTTATCAAGAGATACCATGGCTAAAGTTAACCATCATCTAGTAGCCCAGTGGTTCTTAACGTGGGCGATAATGCCCCCCAGGGGGCGATTTCATTTTTCAGGGGGGCGGTAGAACGAAAAGGGGCGGCGTGGGGGCGCTGG